TGTACCTCATCTCATCCCACTAGTTTACAACACTCTGATGAGTCATGTAAATACAGAACCACTTCTCTGAGACCTCAGCTTTGTATGTTGCACCATCAACAGCAGCATTTTAGACAGTTTATCTCTATGATTTACATAAGTTGGCAGTCTTGTCTCAGATAAAGCCAATGGTGGATCCAGCTGTCTGTCACATAGTACAAAGTTTGCTGCATGTCTGTGGTTTCTTTCTAAAACTGGAATGTCATTTGGCTTTGACCATGCCCAGCAGAAAAAAACACAGTAACACAGTGGCATACAGGCAGAACTGATCTCTCAAACTGTGAGCTAAGGACAATGGGATATTAATGATGTCACTAGACAAACCTGACTCTCATCTCTGGGACAATAGACTTTTTTTTAGTATGCAGTCAAACCCGTCCTTCAGATTGTTTCTGTTGTCTAATATGCTTTGTACCAACAAAAAGTATTACACTGCCAAATTATGGTATGTGAAAAGAAATCCCAGTGTCAGGGACAATGTTGGCAGAAGAAGGCATGAACATGAAGAGAGAGCAATTAAATGAGATAAGCAGCTGTAGAAGGATGGAAAGATGGCTTCATTATCAGAGCTCAGGAGAAGAGAGTAGAGCTGTGTGGTGGCAGCTGGCTGGACAAGATAGAACCAAGAGAGAAGGCATCAGCTCTTCTATTGTGTTTGTCCTAATACTCCTCCTCCATCATCCTGCTATCTCTCCTCTGCCCTTTCCTTCCTTCTTCACTGTCATCCTACCATTTCCAGAACTGTTTTTTTTAACCAAGCACAAATTGCTCTGACCAAATTTGCAGACCAGATAAAAACAGGGGCAACAGCTCAGCACAGTGGGGGTTTTAATGTTTGATTAAAACCTAAACTTCATACTGACTTATTCATGACACAGGCTACATAGCAGACTGTTTTGGAGCAGTCTTCATAAAGGTTAAAAACTAGATGGTTATTTGACATTTTTCAGCTATCCCTGTCTTCACAAGCAGTGCTGTATTATTTGCACACAGACCCTTGAAAGGTGGATTTCCATAAAACAACCAGGTGTGTTTGCACAGACGTTTGTTACACACCTGCAAAGCCTCAATGCCTCCTTCCTCTCCATTCATTTACATCCTCATTGCTATTTCCAGATCTTCCAAATTTTTGTGTCATGATAATAAAACTGAACTCAGGCACACTAGCTACTGACTGCATCTGTTCTCAGTCTAAATCGGTTGAACACACGATCAAGCCTGTGAAGTCTGTAACAAGCTGGTCATATGTGCCAGTGAACCTACATTAATCATATCTTTATATCTTTACACCTTAAGATTCAGAAAATTGTTTCTAAATTTCAGACTGTGACAGTTTGAAGTTTCAGAAAGACTCTCAGATGCTCAGAGGACTCATGGCATCTGCTCTATGTAGTCCAATAAGTTGAAAAGATGAAACTTTTAATAGTGGCAAATCATGGATACAAGTGTGTGGTTCTATAAAGTATAAGGTGTATAGATTTTACAAAATGTGGAGTAACTAGGCAACAGCACACTTTGTCCATTCACTGGACAAAATTGCATAAATTAAAATTAGAGCAACTGTTCCTTGTACATTGCTAAAAGTTCAGGTTAAATAGAATTAGAATTATGGTAGGAGTAGTACTGTAGCTGTGCTGTTGCCAAGTGAACAGTGAGAACTTTTTTAGCTGTACAATATCCAAGCAACATGTCAGCCAGATGAAAAAAGTAGAGGTGGATGCATGCATTTTGAAGATGAGTATGAAATGATCTATCTACTTCACTGTCCTCACATTCCTGATTATCTGCACAGTCTCCGAGATGGCCTCCAGCTTGTTTAAACAACCAGTTTATTTGTCCCAGAGGAGTGACTGCTGCAGGAGGAGAGGCTGTACAGCATGGCAAATCTGCTTTACACAGACCCACAGACACACTTCACCCCAAGTGCCTCCATTTTACTATCCCTTCTGCTTTTATTCTACTGTGAAAGAAGACTATATGGACTTGTCAAGATTATACTGTGCTTTTAACAGTATATTAAACTTGACTAGTTATTTAAGCTCCTGCCACCCTTGCAGCAGGGTCCAAAAACTAAGGTGTCAGATACTGGTACACTGCATGACAAGATACTGTACTACAAGTCAACTAAAGGTCATGCAATTCTTCATGGTTTAAGTGAATCCCATGACCTGACTCACATCACTGTCATGTCAAAAATGTACACTATAGTACAGTTTGACCTATAAAAGACAGTGTCTCATGACTGATAATCAAAGTCTTACAGGATAAACTGTTTTTCACTGTGGGCATCCTTTAGGCTTTCCTCTAGCACTGCCATCAAGATGAAATGTGTATTTTGCCTACATGTTCTTTTTTCCTATGCACATTCTTGCTAATCACCTCTTTGGGCTTTTCACGAACAGGCTAAAATTTACATCTTATTTCCTGCTAGTGAGGTTCAAAGAAATGTGAAGATGTTGGTTTTAAGAACTCTTTAATGTGGACAATATAGATAAAATCTCTACATAATGATTGTACTGCAATATTAATGTATATCACAATATAATATATTCTCAGAAAGACATTTTAGGATTTGAATTGGGCTTACAACTCTTTAATGTGGAAAATATAGATAAAATCTCTACATAATATTAATGTATATCACAATATATTATATTCTCAGAGAGACATTTTAGGATTTGAATTGGGCTTATGAAAACATTTTAGTAAAACTGATAACACAGTTTTAAATGTAATGAATCCAGTTACAGAATACATTAAGATTAGCTTTTATAAAACACTTTCATTTCATTTTTCTCCATCTATCATTCATCCCAGAATCATTTTTATTCTTTATCTAGTTGGCAGACTGTCTGGCTGCCCTCCCTGCTTTTGCATTTTGCATTCCAACCAAATGGTGAGCCTCCCTCCCTCACATTCATAACCCCATCAAAAAAGAAAAAGATTCCCTCATGTGTGAGGGCAGATTCATGCCTGCACACCAGAAAACAATGACAGCCTTTCTGCCCTGGTATGAGGGGAGCGAGAGAGGGAAAGAAAGAATGAAATACAAAGATTGAGAGGGTGTGTGTATGGTGAGAATTTGTGGATCTGAGAGCAAGAAAAAGCCCCCCCCCCCACACACACACACATACACATTCTGACAGAAATGGGCTTTGATGTAATGAGAACAAACATACAGACCCAAAGCAGCACAGAAGTTTGAATTCTAGTAAAGAAAAACTACAAATAGCAAGAATTTCTGTTTATCTTTTCCTCATTGTGGCATTTTGAGAATTCTGAGCTAGTTATCTAGCTCACTCAGCTGGCTATACAGTAGGCTAATGTCACTAGTTTGGAATCAGAAGGTCAGCTAGGCTAACTACCTTAGCCTATATTGTTTAATTTTCAAGAGTAGGACCATAATTATAACCACCTACTTTACTACTACCTTAGCTTCTTAATGTGGGGTTTTTGGCAAAGTGGAAGCAAAGTAATAAGAAAATGACTAACCAGTCAGTTTGACAGGTTTACATTTTATTTGTGTGGTATTTTGTGTTGTACTATTGTCATGTCTGTACAATGGATATAATGTTAGCTTAGACTAGAAATGGGGAACCAGACTGTCTAAAGGTCAAAATTCAGTTTTGCAGCACAAACTCATTAATTATTTCTTTAATTTGTCCAAAAACCAAAGTGTAGACATGACAAGTTGCAGTTTTACACTGTTTATATCATGTCAGAAAATTGTTTTGCTAGAGGCAGTGAACTAGTAGTAATTTATTGTAGCTTTATCTGTTGCCACCTGCAGCATTTATGCTAAGCTTAGCTCATCGGTTTCTGGCTGTAGACTCATCTTGAACATATAACAGTAGTGATCTTTTCACGTAACTCTAAACAAGAGAGCAAGTAAGGGTAGCTCCCAGAAAATAGAGCTATCGTTTTAAACAGGCCTACAGGGCTGTGTGCACTCTCACTACAGTACTTGATTTTTTTTTTTTGGTTATTTAAAACATAAAAGTAACACTTTCTATTTCATGACCACAACATCTGTAGTACTTTATAAGGGCACTGACCATTTAAGCCCACATTGGTTCTGATTCTTCAAACCAATATCCACAAAACAATACAGATTATATATTTTATTATTTTTATATTTTCTATTACAGGCAATTCCAGTGAAATTCACTGAGTAAATGTAATATTAAACATAAAAATGACAGGATATTATTGTGTGATTGATCATGTTATGCAACATTAATATTTTTATCTCTTCACCAGTTTTAGCAGTCTTTCTGCTGAAGACCCATTTCTATTATACTATTCATGGTTTATTCATGTGGGCTTGTTCAGAAAATGTGATACATTTGCATGGTGCATAATTACAAAACCTGATCCTTCGTGCTTCAACATGTTCACCACTTTATTTCTGACCTTTATTTTTGTCGTCATTTCACTCATCACTCTTGTCTTCTTCGCTTTCTCCTGCTCTTTTCTTCCCCTTCTCTCTTTTTATCACTGCTTTTACACACACACGCTGTGTTTTCATTTCTAGTGGGGACTTTACACTGACTTGCATTCATTCCCTGTAGACTTATCCTAACCTTAACCATAACCATTACTTGCCTAACACCTAACCCTGACCCTAACACCTAACCTCATCCAAACCCTAAACCCTGTTGCCACTCTAAAATTCAGTGATTTCCTGGCCGAGGCCCCACAGTGTGAGTGTGTTAACAGGCTTCGGTCCTCATGATGTAAGCAATACTAAGGCACACACACACACACACACACACACACACACAGACACAAGTCTCTCTGTTATTCTCTCTGTTATCTTGGACTTTGGTGCTGCCAGTCAGGAATGTAGGTCCTAGTTTAGTAGAGCAAGCAGCAACAGGTCCACCTCCTGAACAGAGGTTTGTTGAGAAAACAGCACTGGTAGCTTGAGACAAAAGAAAAGAAGGTTTGTTGAAGGAATAGTGTTGAATCCGTTGTGCTGTCTTAGAGGTGTCCTCCTTAACCAAGTTCACACTGACAAGACTGAGTCAGCAAGGAGCAACTCTGCCATGGAGGCGATGCATTTGCTGAATAACTGGAGAAAGGTAACTGTCACATTTCGAGACAACAAGAACCACCAGGCTGTAAAAAGCTGGATGAAATTTAGAATGAGTTCATGAAACCTGAGGGGATAAAGAGTTTACTTGGCTCAGATTAGAGCTTATCACTGTGTGCAGATGGAATTCTCAAGCATTTAGTTTTATTTCCTGGCTGTTTTGTGGTATATTGTTTGAGGCTTGCTTGAGGCTGATTCTGATGAATATCATTTCACAGGTTTGTCAGAGGAACAAATCTGAAGATATTGCAGCACTGTTGTGTTATCCTGAGGACAGAGTACATCAGAACCATATTTTCCATCCCTGCTACACAACATATTAGGCATGCAAATGACTCTGGGTACACGCTGATTCTCTGTGCTCTAATTATGTGTTATTTAACCTTTTTGTGTGGCTTTCTGTGCTTCCTCATAACCACAAGCACCTCACATCTCATATAATGACTGGAAAAGTGTTTTTTCATGTATATTCACCCTTCACATGTACAATACTAGTACTTGTGCTAGAATAGACATAGAATATATTTTTTAGCCATTTGTTCTCTGCTGGCATGTTGGAAATACATAATGACTGACTAAGAAAAGAGGAATTTGTGGTATCTGGGTACTGTGTGTGTGTTCTTGTACTTACTTTATAGTGAGGACCAAAAAAGTACATTTTGCTACAGAGTAAGGACATTTTTAGAAAGTGAGGACATTTTGGCTGGTCCTCACTTTTGATACAGTGTTTTGAGAGGGTTAAGACTTTTGTGGTTTTATGGTTCAGGTTAGAATTAGGCTTAGGTTAGGGTTAGGGTAAAGGTTAGGGTTATGTATTTAGTTCTGATGGTTAAGTGTTAGGGTTAAGGGCTAGGGAATGCATTATGTCAATGAGTGTCCTTACAAAGATAGAAGTACAAGTGTGTGTGTGCATGCATCTGTGTTTTCATTAATACTGAGAGACAAGAGAGCTGCCAGGGTGGCTGTTTTCCAGTTAGTGTGTCACCTACCAAGAGGCAGAGTGTGTTGCTCAATGCTGTCTACCCACTTGCTACATAGTGAGTACCAAAAATAGTCATAGTCATAGCCAATAATCACTTTCTGATACAGTGTTTTGAGGGTTAAGACTTGGTTTTAGGGTTTAGGTTAGAATTGGGTTTAGATTAGGGCTAGGTGTTAGGCATTTACTTCTGATGGTTAAGTGTTAGGGTAAGGGGCTAGGGAATGCATTATGTCAATGAGTGTCCTCAAAAAGACATAATTACATATACAGTATGTGTGTGTATGTGTGTGTGCTAACAGCATGAATCATACCTTGACACATTAGTGTCTAGGCAGACTGGGGATGGAGAATCCCAGTAAATATGGTTCAACTTTCTCAAATCACTGAGTTTAAGATATTTTAAAATGTTGACCACAAGAAAATGGTACACATACAGATTTGATACATTTTTTGTGGTTCACATCGATGACATAATTTCCTCCCTCAGGACCTTCATGTGTCACAGGGAGCCGTGGACAGCTCAGTGGACATGAACCGTCTGAACAGGAACATACCTGAGTGTGGACAGCCAACACACCAGGTGCTACAGGTGAGTGTGTGCATGAGTGTTTTAAGGAGGAAGAGGATGGGAGAGAACATGGAGAGTGAGAGAGAAAATGAGAAAAAAGGAATGAGTCAGGAAGAGCCAGAAGCCTTACTCTTCTCAGCTTGGCAGCCTTCACAGAAAAACCCAGTCATATGTCATCAGTGTGTCCAGTTTCATTACTTGTTTCCAGTGTGTATCCATTTGCCATTCTCACACACAAAGAGTCCTCTCTTTTTCTGATAACTGTAATCACGGATGTTAAATGTCACCGCATTAGCTGCTCTGACAGATCTGTGGCACTAAAACTCAACATGGATGAAAAATATAGAGCTGAAGGGTCAACTGAGTGAAGAGGCAGAAGGTCAGGTCAGGCTGTGCATGTGCTGCATGTCCTGACAGTGTATGTCAGTATGTTGTAAAACAGGAATCTTTAGCCAGAGTCAGTAAATAGATGGAGCCAGAGACTGGTTGTCTAGTATATCCCCCCACTGGGTCAGACACTCCTACTGTAATAGCATTAAGGGAAGGACTCTCTCTCTCTCTCTCTGTGTGTGTGTGTGTGTGTGTGTGTGTGTGTGCAAATACATTGCATTACATAAATGTAGTTTGACCATATTTTCAACAGAGGAATCTTTGTTAAAGCCAGTAAAAAAGTGAAAATTCAACAAGGAATTGTTAATTATGAAGATAATTATTTCACAAACTGCATACAAAGGAAAATGTGATGGTTAGAGAGTTAAGAACGACCTGTTTACGTGAAGCTCCTGCTAGGGGGAGATGCCCACTTTTATTAGAAGAACAAAAAAAGATTTTTAGAACATTTTTTGAAATGGTAAGTCTCATCGTCAACGAGTATTACTGCTAAAGCTTTCTTTCAAATCTGTCTTAAGTCATATAATGAATATATAGGTTTGTTAAAATGAATGTTGCACAGCAATAAGAAGCCAGGCTAAAGTTAAACGTGTGAACTGTAGTTGATGCCTGCATCCATAAGATTAGGTGCACAGAAAGGGTCTGTCAGTAAAATGTTATGCCGTAAAACAAATCACCTAGTCAAATGCAATACATCTGAGACTGATAGTAGATATACAGTATCGACCATGGGCGTCTATTTACATCTGTGCATTTCAGTACGGTGCACACACTATGTGCAGACAGAAAACATGAGGAGCAAACAGTTGCTGTGTGTACCACATGGGAGCAGCAGCACACAGCAGATGAAGAAATGAATCTTGTAGTGTTGCCCTGCTGGCACCTCTCCTCCCATCTCTCCCAGTAAGCCTCCCAGTGCCTCCCAGCCAGTTTCTATCTCAGCAGTCCTCTTATTAGCCTTGACCCCTCTCTACCAACAGCACTGCCGCAACCAGATAATCCTAATAGGACCCACATGCCTAGTTAACCAGCCGAGATGCTGAATCAGTGATCATGTACATGTTGTAAACAAGAAATGTACAGGCTCAAAAATGGGACAAAAAGATGCAGTCATAGCTGGTTTTAAAATGTAAATCCATACCACCCATCACAGTTTATTTAACACTTCATTTTTTAGGCAGTGCTTTCAAAAATTGTTTATTCTGATGTAAAAGTAAGCCGCTGTTTAAAAAATCGTCAGACCTATCAAAGCCGATGGACACAGTATACTGGATTTTCAGGGAAGCTCAATCATAATGTATTTTTAATCAGTCAGGTAAGTTAGAAATAAACTGTTCACAGTCTGGCATTTGCATGTCTTTTGAAGGGTCATAGAATAAACCAGAGGATGACTGAGGTGACTACAAAGATAGAAAATGAGAAAAATCTAAGAAAGGAACATTAGTGTGCTTGCAGCCTATAGACAAATGCAATCTGTGATAAAGTTGCCAACAGACATTGCTTTAATTTAAAGTGTCACCAGCCAAAAAGTTGGGAGCCGGTGCTGTGATTTCTAAATCACAGGACATTTTGGCATGTCACAGTACACGACTGACTGGCTGTTCAAGTTTCAGGATCCTGTTATTGTGCATTTAGAGTATTGGATGTACCCAGCAGGAGAACTAATTCATTTTATTATGTCAAACCCTGAGACAAAGCTACAGAGACAGAGAGAAAAACAGCACTAACACTGTATCTATGTGGAGAGTCATTTAACCTTAAGAAGATAATTAAAAAGCAGAATTGTCTGTACACTCAGGCATCGCTGTACTGAGTGCTCATCACAAGTTAGGTTATCAAACACCCTCCGGCACCCTCATGTTTCTTAATTGCAGAGTGTAGTTGCTATGGAAACATCTCTTCCCCTTTGCTGAGCCAAGAGCACATGGTGGTGCTTTAAGCAGCACTATGGGACACACACCAGACACACACACTGCCCTCAGTGTGTAGAAAGAGCCAGCTATGGAAATGGCCTCCTGTAGTGAAAACATTCAGACTTCTCTTCCTACCCTAGGAGTGGAGAATGAACCTCACTCTGTAGGCCCGATGCATTATTGAAGAAGTAAAACTCCATTCACTGCTGGACAGAAAAGATAAGCGTGACAGATGTGTCTGTTCTCACTCAGCCACTGAGAACTAATTTGATTGCATAAAAATACCATCTTAAAGCGTCAAGAACTGTCATGCAATTTGCTCTGTGTTTTAAAGTAAAACTGGCATAGAAGGATGCAACTTTTCTTTGACTTGACATTTTTCTTGTGGAATGTTTTTGATATTTTATTATGTTCCTACAACCCCAAATCAGAAGAAGTTGGAACAGTAAGTAAGATCAAAATTAAAACCCTCCAATTGTTGCAGCATCTGAATTGAAGTGAGTGTTTATTTTGAACAGAGAGTTAAATTGATGACGTATCACATCAAATAATGTGCTGCTGTGTTGTTTTCAATGTAATACAGGACACAGATGATTTACACATCACTACTTTCAGTTTTAATTTTGATTTTACATACTGTCCCAACTTCTTCTGATTTGGGGTTGTATTCTATCATTTTATCCTTATATGAAGTATTTATATTATTATTGTCTGATGGTGTATTAATTATACCAGTACTGCATGTAAAGCACTTTGGGCAGCAAGGTGTTGTTTTAGTGTGCTATATAAGTAAACTTTTGATTGACCTCTGCAGAGCACCCCACTGGATTTAATTGAGACTGGAAAATGTCTGAAGTTCCAGGCAGAGCGCCCCCACCTGGTCAGCCTGGGCAGTGGACGCCTGAGCACTGCTATCACTGTGCTGCCCCTGCCTGAAGGTGAGAGAGCTGTTTTAACACCAACACATGAGATAGCTAGTGGAAAATGATGTTGATGCAACAACTGAGGTCAAAGTTGCAGAATACACATGGGGTCATTCAAACACCTTTTTTAAGACATTGTTTTTATCATGTTGATTATTCAGCTGGAAACATAGTATGTTAAGAATCACTGGTAAAGTTGCATTATTGGCTTTATTACATATGTTAATAGTAACAATATTATTTTATTACATTTATGGGTATGTGTAACAACACATACACACTTGTTTCTTTGCTAACTGGACTGGTTTTCACCTCATGAATCTGTTTGTTTATATGATTTCCCCTTCTGTCTGTCAGCACCTCTCTGTCCGCTGGCCTTCCTGTTTCTGGCTGCAGAGTGTGTGTGAGTGTAAGTGTGTCTGTTACACCCACCTGTGACATTTTATTGGATCTTGGGCTCTCATCTCAAAGGTTCAATATAAGTCAGCTGTTTGTGTCATTGTTTCCCTCAAATAGTGCTGAATCAGCATGACTAATGCTAGCATATTTTACCATTAATGCTAAACCTCTCTTTTCAAACCTACAGTGGGACAGGAGTGCACTTCCACTATAATTGCTGCTACTACATTAAGTTGCAAAGGCCTAATTTACATTACTACTGCTGCCCTCAGTTCTCAAAACACTTTTGTAGTTTGAGGTTGGTTTTCTTAGCCTACTGGAGTCTTTATGAACATTGTTCTCTTATTGAGAGAAGAGAGGACTTGAAACATATGGTGATATAGTCATTAGCGTTACCTTCAGCTATCACTCTGCACTCAAACCAGTGAGCTTATTGAGCAGCAGCCAGTGGTGTGGCAGTTTGCTGGCATTATTTGCCCTGGGTTTTGTCTCTCAGGTTACACACAGCCTGAAAGGGGGTACTATCCCATCAATCCCACTAGATTCAGATTTTAAAAAGCACTTAATATATATTTTTATTTACAGGTAATACTGTCCTAAAATATACTAGAATGGAGCATTTGTTCAGCCCAGTGTGTTTTGTAGTAAAGTTTGTATGTTTGAAGTAAACATTATATGGTAAAAGGTATCTGTATAGGAAGTGGTTTAAAGGAGAGTTTATACAGAGGTTTACATAGCATGTTTTTGATACACTCGCATTATTATGGGAAGCGCAACCTTTTTTCATAATTTATTTGCATATTACTACATCATTGTGTCCTCTCACTTCAGGAACCAATCCATACTCTTGCTACTATTAATAATAATTGTGATTATAACTAGACCTGACTAGAGGTGTATAAGAGTCCAAGCACCTAAATCAAACTAATGACTCTAATAATGCCCCACTGTTAACAGATCACTTCCACAATATACTGTACACTGTGAGTAATATGACTTTGAATATTGCCTCTATATTATCAGAGGTGGACTCACTACACCACACACACAAACTGCACAGATTTTAGCTGAATTTTTTTTTGTTCCCCCTAGGCCGGACCACTGTGGGTCATGGTCCCATGGACATCAGCATCCAGGGCCCCGGGGTGGCTGCCCAGCACTGCTACATAGAGAACAGGTCAGGGGTCATCATGCTGCATCCCTGTGGGAACCTCTGTGCTGTTGATGGACTCCAGGTCACCAAGTCCGTCCGTCTTTCCCAAGGTAGGAATTAGCTTAGATGTCTATCCCGTAATGCACTCTACTGGTGGTTCCTGCTCCGGGCTGACCTTCCTCCTTCCTCCCTCCCACCGTCCATAGACAGGCAGCTAAGGTGGATTGGCGACTATAAATTGCCTGTAGGTTGTCTGTCTACATGCCAGCCCTCTGATAGACTGACAACCTGTCCAGAGTGTACCCTGCCTCTTGCCCAGTGTCAGCTCGGATAGGCCCCAGCCCTGCCATGACCCTATTCAGGAATAAGCGGTGTAGATAATGGATGGATGGCGGTTTCTGCTGATGGTTTCTGTTGTTGCACATTTGGTAGTTCTGCACCTGAAGTGCAGTGGGAATGGACTTCCATTGTATCTACTGTAAAACAATCAATGACCAGATATTAAAGGATGTATGGTTTCTATTTCACTCAGCTGTAATTTCACCTGCCTACTATTGTGTACAATGCCAGTAAAGCCAGAGATCAATACATCAGCTCTTTGCCTGGTCAATGAAAACACAGCCACAGAGCTACACTGTACTTTAAATTGCCATCGACTGAAGAACAGCCTGAGCTTCCTGTTTTAACAGCAGAGTGAAATTTGCTCTGCATTGAATTTTTACTTGATATTGAGTATTTTTTACATTACATAGATACTGATACTTTTACTTCAGTAAAACATTGCAATACTTCTTCCACCGCTAGTTTTTATAACATTATACTCAACAGTTTCATAGCTAGGATCTGGGACGTGGTGGCAACTTTACTTACTTATTAATCCATTAGGATAAGTAATTCAAGCAGTCAGATGGTCAGCAAATTCCCAGTTTAACCAGATTTAGTAAGCACGTCAGTTCAAACCTAAACCAGTCCAGTTAGCTTAAAATCTAATACACATGTATTTGGGTGATAACTTTAACCTTCAGATTTGTTTTAAGTTCAAATGGACTCAATTTCTTTGGACACTATTTTTTTTTAATTTGTTGAGAAAAGTTGCCATATCTCTGTTTTAACAAAGTAAAATGTTATCATAACTAACTGTATGAAAATAATTTAGAAAAACTGAAGAACCTTTCAGAAATCTTTTGATAATCCATCAAAATTAAACAAGCCATAAAGCTTGTCTATGACATCTAGTATACTGTACAATCTTTATTCTTTGCACAGATTTCCTAATATAACAACAGCAGGAAACATTTTTTATTTTTTGTAATTTTAACTGACTGGTGTATTTTTGCCTTTCTCAAGTAAATCAGAGAGGAAATAAAACTGTAAATCATGTAACTGTAATTTGTTAGTCCTGGAAATTCATAGAGGCTTACATCACAGCCTTGGAGAGATAGTGCAGTGTTTTGAGAACAAGTTAAGAGACACTACTCATCATTACTCAGTGTCCGCAAGATGTGAACTTCCCTCTGTGCTGCTGTGCAATCACACACTGTAGTGTTATTTCTTATCGTCAGACTGGTGTTGAAAAATGCTAATGGCCCAAACAGTTCTTACAGACTAATATCATTCCTTTCTAAATGCTCTCTGCACACATTTTCCAGTGTCCTGCGTGATTCTGTGAAACGTGTGTGTGTAGAGGAACACATGTTGTCTGTCAGCGTGTCCCTCTGTCTTTCAATATTTCAACCTGGACTCTGGCTAGGTAACCTGAGTGGAGACACAAGGCTATTTATACTGCCCCCCAACCCCAGACAGATCCGACTTTAGCCCAGAGGGCGTTTCAGGTTGAAGAATGTGTGTGAGAGTAAACCAGAGTTCATTGTCAGGCTGCTGGAAGCATCGTAATACACAGTGTGAAGGGCTGAAGTAGTCATGAAAGGAATAGTTTGGGTTGTTTACAAGCTGATTTCTTTAGTGTTAATGTTGGCTGCCACAAATCTAATTTTAGAGCAGGAAGTAGATGAGACTCACCACTCCCAAGAATTATGTACATTATATGAGTAATGCATTACAGGACACTTCAAAACAAGTGAGTACTCTTTGGTGCAGAGGATGCATCATAGTAAGCTATGACTAGATGCTGATACGTGGCACAGGTGGCCTAACACTGCCTGCCTTCTGTGTTTCTACTTGGTAAATAAATAGTCTATACCTCGCAATTTATAGAAAAATCAGGCAGCAACAAGCCAGAACTGTTACATGATGGAAATGTGCTCAGCTGGTGTTTAGAGGTAATCCTCTTGGGTTTGCAATATAAATCAAAAGACCTAAATCCCGACAATAACAGGGCATGTAGAAACTAAGCCTGTTTGAAGTGGAATGAGCAGCTGTTTTAAAAGGATAAAGACTGACTGGCTTGATTCAGCCAATCAACTCAAATAAACAGGGACAAATTCACAGCTCAAAAGAAAACTTCCACTCCAGCTGAGGAACATGTTGAGACAAGTCACTCTCTGGAGAAACATCTAAACCCATTTATGCTGTAAGCAGAGAAATAACTGATGACATGACTGGTCCATATCATTAATTATTTGACATTGGTAACTAAAATATCTTGTATACATAAAGCACGGCTGTGATGTCATCAATACAAAATTTTAAATCAAAATGACATCATCAGGGTTGACCTTGGAGACCACACATTTTTGACAGACAACAATATGAACTTGATTTGTGAAGTTTGAAGGATATGAATATTTACCAAGAACCAAGGGTCTAAGGAAAATATGCACTGGGAGATGTTCTCATTTTAACAAACTGTTATTTTTCAACCTAATCACAGTTACATTCTGTACAACAACAATACTTCCCAGCCTTTAAGTACTTTACATAAACTAAGAACACGTACTTTATTTACTTTCATTTCTACTAAACTATTTTATATTTCAGAAGGAAATAGGCCAGATTAAGAGTTTACATACAACAATAGGATAACAGAGTAACAGAGCAGTTTTACGCTGTGGTATTGCTACTTTTACTCAGGTAAACGATCTGAGTGAGTACTTCTTCCACCACAGAGGATACCACACAGTATCAACATTTATTGCAGAGGCTAATGTGCTTTCTGGGAACTCTTATCTCAAATGGCCCCTTTAATGTGCATTTTTATAGTTTTGAAATAATGTCTTTTACTATTTTAAGCTTCACATTTGTTCTTTCATATAGTGATAAAGTAGGCAATGAGAGAGAGACACTCCTTGGCATGTCCTCTGGCCCTCTGTCAAATGAAAGTCTGCTTTATTGATATGTCAAATTAGCCATAGTGAGTGATGCAAAAACAAAACAGACTCAGTCCAGGCTACAGTCAGACATAATCAAGAAATCAATAAATGTAACTTAGTAGTTGATTTTTCTACATCCCTTCCTCCTGTCTGTCTTTCCACTCCGTGCTCCCCTAGTCTCACAGCTCTAGGATCTCCAGTATTTCTCCCTCCGTCTCCGTCTCCTCCTCCTCCTCCCTCCCCCCACTCCTCTCCGCTGCCTCTCCCACTGTCTCTCCCACTGCTTGCTATTTGACAGTCCCGACTCTCTGTGTGCTGAGAAATGAGTGAGTCAGCTGTTTCTTATAGGAGCCCCAGCAGAATGAGAGGGCGTCTTTCCTACGTGCATAGCTGGGAGGGAGACAATGAACGTACAGTCCCGCACCGGTTTGAATGAACTGGGATATACCAACGCATAAGTGGGTGAAGCCGTGTTTAACAGCCGACAAGCAGACAGCTCCTTTTGTGAACATCCAGCAACCGCTGAATATATTAGAGTTGAGGATTATCATAACAAAAGCGTGTCGGGACAAAACCCATAAACGCTCCTGCTGTTCCAAGGTGACCCGCAGAAAGAGAGGAATAACACGTGGCGTTATTTTTGAGGAAGAGAGGCGATGAAAACAACGGAGGGAGAGAGGAGTTTCATTCATTGGAGTTGAAGTAAGTTTGTCTGTTTTACTACGGACTAATGACGCGGTTTTCAGTGGTTGTAGTCGGTTTCCTTGTAGGACTTAACTGGGCTTGTAAATTGTTATAGCCGGCGGACGGTGTCATTGAAAGTTACGGGCTGTGGGGACACCTCTATACCCAAACGCTTCTTGTTTTAACATTAGGCTACTTTATGCCCACTGACCAGCTAGCATGCTGCGGACACGGCATGCTAATATCAACAGTAGGATGTTGTGGTTCTGCTATTTACATCATTATTTATACATACACATTATCATCAAATAAGACATTATGAATTAACATGGGTTATAAATCCAGCAAAATACCCTAACCCGTAAGAATTTAACTTTATTAACATGTTCTTTTTTTGTAATTCACAACTTGATTGTAGCCAGCTACACCAGTTTACCCTGGTGGGCTGTAGCTAGCTGCTAGCCGCTAGCTTACAAAAGTTTATATTTCATTTACATAAAGGTCTATTTAGAATTTCTTTTAACGCTCTTAGAATATCATTTTAACACGATATAGCCGTTTAAGTCAGGTTTGAACACAATCATATTTTAACTAACTGCACAAAAGCTTTAAGCTACCAGACTTTTTGAATGGAATTTGGTTGGTCACTCCGCCCATGCATGAACAGCGGTATAACGTTGCAGTCTCTGGCCACTCTGTCCCCAGTACCCCCAACTTTCCCCTACATCCATGCGAGTTCTGTTTATAGACTACAAACATATACAGGTCTGCCTGATCTGCAGATACCCCCCATGACCAGACCTCACAGAGTCTGTCTACTGTTACACTGCTATTCCTGGTTGCCAATGTGACCTAACGAGGCTAGGTAACTGGAATAGAACAGAGCTTTCCTCTCATGCGTTCTGTTTATTCAAAGGCCTCCGGGTTAATGAGGTATGATCGCATTGGACAGTTCAAACCCAGGATCTTCTTGCTGAGCCATTGTGCCACATTACGGCTACCAGAAGTGTGGTCATTGTCTCTCCACAGCTATCCCTCCTCAACATCTGTCATCTATGTTTGTCATTGGTTTGACCCCAGTGTAAGGAGAGGATGTGAAAGAAGCCCCTCTGCAAATGCAGGCTGCTGTGAATGTGATGTGGGCTCCCCGGGGGCCC